TACAATTTAAACTCGAGATAATCAATATTTTTATGAAACCTTTTTTTCCTGTTTTAACAAAAAATTTTCATGCAAATATCGATAAAAAGTTATTGATGTTTTGATTGAAAAATTACAGAGAAGCAAATAAATTTTGGTTGCACATTAAAACAATACCATATTTTGAATAGTAAAGAAAATGAGCAAATACATCTTAATGAACCTTAAAATCTTACAACAAAATTATTAAACAAAAATAATCTTATAATTAGAAAAGAAATTCCGAGACTAGTTGTAACGGAAAATTCGCATAAACGTTTTCAATAAGACTTTTTTTTTAAATACGTTCCTGATTTGGTAAATCCAAAGTTGATGAACTAGAAGCAAAATTTTCTTTTTCAATTGTAATAGTATTATGAACTGTTATTTGAGGATATAATTCTTGATTGTTGCTGCTGGTTTTACTAGTGCTATTTAAGATGAAAGCACCACTTTCATTGGTATTGGTATTTCTAACAGTACCAGACTTGTCGGATGAATCGTATTTATTCGTCCAACTTTCATGCCCAATATATAGTATCATATTTCCTAAACCGCCAAAATTTATAAAAACTACAGCTACGGTATAAATCCATATATTATCGTACTAAAAAAAAAAAAGGAAATTTAGTCACAAAGTTAGAGACAAACGACACACGTGACTCCTGCACATTCATACATACTAGAGCCATTTGAGCAACGAAATAAACTATCGTAGGAATCCATTCTATAAGGAATATTAGAATATAGCCAATAATTTTTCTCACAACAATAAGATCAATGCGATTAAATTTAACAGCATCAGAACCAAGTTGTCGAATGTTTTTTTGTTGGATATTAACTTCCAATAAGGTCATAACATAACAATATGTAGTAACGAGTAAAATTAAAACAATTAAAGCAACAGTTACTAGAGGCGTTATTGGATCAGTTGGAGCACTATAACACCTGTTAAATAATATATATGTAAGAATTTGACGAAACTCACAAGTTACATAAAGATAATTAACATAAGACCTACCAAAATTTATTTGGACCATAATCGTGAACACCAATCAAGGTTAATGTTAAAGCTATTAAAAAAATGCAAGAAAATAATCTATAATCATATCTTCCAAAGTTAATAATGCGTTTTCTACATATTCGAAGGTAAGTTGTCAAAGACAATGAACCAACTAAGGTCACATTAGATGCGACAAAAAAGAATGTTACTCCGCCAGCTACTTTGCATCCTAAGCCTTGAAGAGTTTGACCATTAACAGCTGAGTATGTCTTATTTATTTAAGATATGTAAGTTAGCGTATTAATGTATACAAGATTTTTTAGGATTATCGTTATTAAAGGAAATACATACTGTATTAATTAGATTGATTGTAAATAAACACAATTCTAAATTATTTAAATTATTTGAATTATTTGAATTTAGTAATGAAAAAAAAAGATAGTTTAAGTCATACTAGTATATTTAAAATATTTAAATGTAAAAGATGAAGGACATACCGGCAATAGACATATAAAATGGCACCCTATGAGCCATCGATAGGGATCTATCAGTCACCCACCATCGACACAATATCCTTATAATAAGGTAAGCTGAGCAAATGCCATTCATAGCGCCGGCAATTAAGCCAGCTGGTATAATAATATAAAAGCCAGGGTTGTTTCTGATATCAAAGGTATCCGAAGAATTTGATGCGTAGCTCATGATGGAATTAAAAGATGATCGAAATAGGTATATGGAGTGAAAAACAATTGTAGGGAAATGATTTCGCAAAATTGAAATAAAAAATGTTTTTTTTAAAAAAAAAACTGTAGTATAAATATGAAATTTTCCTATTAGTAATATATTTAATCGGAAATTAATAAAATGATCAAATTTAAGGAATTTACTAATTTTGCAACTAATTTCTCGCATTCACACAGTTTCTATTGGCTACAGTGAAAACTAATTAACATGTGATGTTTCTGTTACCAATAGAAATAACACATTAAAGCAGATGAGCAAAGATATTCAAGTTTCATATCCGTTTTGTTAATTTAGACCTTTGCCATTGTTACATGGATTTTCTACAGTATACATTTGATTTAACCCAAGATTTAGAAGTTAAACCAATTAGTTCAATATTTAATACATAAAACTGCAATTTAGCAGATGAGCATTCAGCTTAACGTCAATAATAGAAATTCATCGTCTAGTGATCTACAAGATTAGAGTTTCGACCAGTCTTTAGACGAGTGTACAAGGTTACATAATGGTTACTATTATATTTTATGTAATATGTTATATAAGTAATATGTTATATAATGCATATTTAATATATAACAAATCATATTTTTTTGGAGAAAATTTGCTTAAATGGAGAAATTTTGACTCACACCAAACATCTCTATAGTGAATTTGTTACAAACACTCGCAGATGTTAAGGAAAATCACGCTTAGACTGAATTTGACCTTTACCTCTATATGCAGAACCGTAATCTGTACAGTATATATTCTGGTGTTTGTTTACTTTAGCACGCATACAATATATATTTGTAATACAAATCTGAAAATTCCATTGATATATACAAAATAAATTATATGTAAATAAGCGTAACTATGCTATGACGTACGTACGTACCTTAAATCGAGTAATTAAATATGGTTACCTTTTAAGAGTTTATGTTTATATGAAGCATTTCTTTTTTATAATCTTAATTTAATAATTAATAAATTTTTTCTTGTATACTTTTCAAATAAAGCACAAATGAAGTGGCAAAATTACTCCCACATAGGACGAAAATTGCAACCCATGATAATTGTTTCGGAAGAAACAGCATAAAAAAATATATATATACATACAGATGCATTTTAATGTATAACAAGATTAATAACAAGATTAATAATAAGGTTCAGAGAAAATCCAGAACCAAATTATATTAGTTTAGGTTTGACTTGAGTAAAGTTCGAATATAATGCAATAATAAAATACGCAATATACATATAAATTTGGGATTTTACTAAAACGCACCTATGGTGTTTTACACCTATGTATACATTATCTCAAAAACTGGCTAATTAATTGGTGTGAGGTGTTCTAAGTAAAAAT